CCCCTGGTCACGTTACGTGGATTACAAGTCAAGTTTTTTTTTTTTTTCCTAAAAGTATTTTTAAAATATTCAAATATTTTTTTTATTTACTTTAAATTAAATTTTTTTATGTTTTTAAATTATTTTAATATGATGATGTTAAAAATAATTTTTTAAAAATAAAAATATATTTTTAAATAAAAAACATTTTAAAAAATAATCACTGCAGTAGTTTTAAATACCCTTTAACCATGCTTTCATCCAATGCCTCCCTATGTTAATTTGTTAATTTCAAGGGGGTTTGAGAGCGTAATTCAATCATGCGTTTCAATTAATTTTTTTATTTTAATTAATTTTTTTATATATATATTTAAACATTTTAATATATTGATATTAAAAAAAAATATAAAAAATAAAAAATATATTATTTTAACATATTTGTAAATAAAAAGTACATTAAAAAACACCTTCACTGCAACCCTCGGAGCTACAATAAAGCCTAATTTTACCTCCATTTTAACCCCATTAAAGAACTAGTTAATTTCATATCCTTTTATGGATAGGTTAGGCCGTAAAGCTCTTCTAGGCCGAGTTTGGACTGACAATGAAACCATTCAAAAACATATACTGGTATATGAGCTTTCAGCTGTTGGCTTTGTGCAAAATAAGCATAGAAACAAACAAGGATTGGTCCTATGAGCAATTTGACATCATTAAATAAATATAGCCTAAGTGCAAAACATAGGGGGGAAAGGATAAAATGCAGATTTACATGGCAAAGACAGAGAATCATACATACGAACACCTCAAGTGCTGAAAATAAAATTAAAAAAATGGACGCCCAATGATTATTTTCTTCAATCAGCACCTCAAACATTCATCTATGACGTCGAGGTTTAATATGCTTTGACACGTGGGCAATTTCTAAAATGCGTGTGGTACTTTGCAGAGGCCTTCAATTAAAAATTCTAAAATTCTTTTTTATTTCTCCACGGATGTTTTATAGGACTCTTGCAAATTTCTTACAAAAGTTTGTAAATTGACCGCGCATCACCGAGATGCGGTGATAGTAACCTATTCCTATAATATAATTACAGGCTGATGATTTTATATGTTAATTTTATTTTTTTCTTGTGAATTTCTCTTTTAAATATTTTAATTTTAAATACAAACTAGATAAAATATCAAATCAAGAAATTTTAAAATTAACATATTAAACTGAGTTTAATAAAAAATAAAAAATAATCATTTACAGTCTGGATATTTGTTCTTATATTAAATTTTAATTTTATTTCACTCGCAGCATAACAACAAACTAGTTAGGTAATCCAAAAAATGTGTCACTGATAATCTATGTGCAGGAAAGATCCTCGACTTCCCGTGTTGGAATATGACGACCTATAGTAGGAGATGCATTTTGGGCCGTCTAAGCAATTATTAGTTCACCAAACATGATGGTGGGCGAATAATAATAATAATAATAATAATGGGTGCAAGATTAGCAATTCCTTTTTCTCTAAATAAAGAAAAAATAAATAAATTTAGAACGCGGGTAGTTTGCTTGTAGATAGAGACCCAATACCATATTCGTTTCCACTCCAATCTTCTAATTAGATGTGAGATTTTCAAAGTTGTCGGCATCAAATCAAAAACTAAAAAGAGGAGATGGAATGTCCATTCAAAGTCTTCTTCAAGGGCCCTCGTTGCTTTTACTCCGATGATGTTCATGGCAGTCCTTTTCTGGGCTCGGGAGAAATGATCACATAGCAATATCTTCGAAGAGAGAAACCCACACTTTGTATGCGAAATTAAAATTGGAATTTCCCATCAAATCATCATTGACTGTGACTTAACGTGAAGTTTGTGTTTTAATTACATGTTCATCATCTCCGAACCATGCGCTAGAAAAAATAAAATGGTCTAATGCGATGCTGAATGTGGCCTAAGATCTCCATTCTTTGATCATGTTCCACGGCTTTATCTTCCATGAAAATTCTTCTAGCCAGTTTTACTTTGTCCTAGTGCTTTTTCAGAGCGCTGAAAGATATTAACAATAAATAAATAATCGCAGCACATTTACTTTGCGTACACCAACATGACACTATTAAAAAACAACAGGGGGGCTGTTTTTTTTATTTCACTTTTTTTTTTTGTCGCTGAACAATTTATTATTTCATATTTGAATCTGAAAATTTGTTTTTTGGTTTTTTGTGAGGTGCTTGAGGTGGCGACAGCATGTTATAGCATTTAGTTTATGCTGGTTTTTGCACAAAAAAAAAAAGAGGGGGGGGGGGGGGGGGGGGGGTTGGTACTTGAAAAAATTTGAGGATGCAGGGACCTAATTTGATATTATGTGTAAAATAACCGTTTTTTTCACTGTTCCCCTCCCCCCTTTTGTGTTTTTTCTCCTTCAAAATTGCTTCGGTTCAATCTTGGTTTTTTTGCTTTTTACAATTTTCACTGTCTAAAACATTGTTTTTTATTTTTATTTTTTAGTACCTGATTAAAAAGCGGAGAAAAAAATTATTATAAAAGGTAAAGAAAAGAGAAAGTGCATGGTTGACCAAATTCAATGATGGTGGGACATTTTTAGTGCCTAACAGTTTTATTTAATAAAAAAATTTATTTTTGTATTTTTTGCTATTTATCTTGTCAAAAAAAATAGTTTAAGGTTGGCATGATTTTTTTTTTCAGCTCGATTTTGTATTTTTTTTAATCATTTTTTAGTTGAGAGATGAGTTTTTGAGGTTATTTGAGTGTTTTTAAGTTAAGATATATTAAAAAAAAAAAAAATTTGGTGTTTCTAGACAATGCATAATCTACTACACTAAATCAAGTCTTTAAAATAAAATCTACTACACTAATCACATCACGTGATTAGTTTCTTTTTTTTAAAGAAGGCAGGGATATGTTGCCATCCTTTTAGTACAAAAAAATAAAAAATAAAAGAGAGAAAAAAAGTTAGGAACAAACCTGATCTTTTTATTTTATAGGTAGGGTGCATCAAGTCTTTAAAATAAAATTATTAAACTTAGTAGGGATTATATTTCAATTTATAGGTTTTATAGGTTTATTTAATTTAATTTAAGTTGTTTTAATATGTTATCGTCTTGATATTTAAAAAAAAATATCATATTGAATTTTTTAAAATCAAACCATATATTTATTAATCAACTGAGTTGTCTTTTAACTCGCTAAATCAACCTGAGTATATCAGATCAATCTCTATGTAATTTATTTTTAAATTTGAGTGAGGCGAGTTAGATCGAGATATTTCAAGATGAACTCTCTATGTCAAAAAAATTCTATAATAAAGCGCGATTGTTGTTTTTTTTTATTTAAAAAAATTGTATCAAAATTATTAGGATGTTTATTTTAACAGAAGCTGTTTTTGTAATAAGAGTAGAATATTGTATATGAAACAAATATTATGGTAAACAAATACTTAAAACTTTGAATGCAAGACAGATTTCACAACTTTCTTTTATCTTATTTAGCTAGCGCATCATGTATCAAGCTCACAATTAATATTTTTTATTGATAAAATATAAATTAATTACTTCCAAGGTAAAAAAATACTTTTATTTTAATCATAATATAGCAATAGTGAAGTAATTAGTTGGAGAACTATATTATAAATGTTTTTATAAAGTTCAAGAATTACCCTGCATGTTACACAGACACTTGCATGTTACACACAAATTTAGTTATAGTTATGTTATTCACACCTCATCATAAATTCAAAAAAAAATTAAATATACATAATTTTTTAACATGTTTTTGAATATATAAAAAATTTTAATTATAAATTAAAATGCTTATACATGTGTCTAATTAAATAAATATGTATTTGATTAAAAGATAACTAAGATGCACTTAATTGTGTTTAATAACTTTATTTTTTTAGATAATTTTTCTAATTTAATCAAATGATTGCCTATATCAATAAAAGGTAAAATAAAAATTATTGACAAAATAAATTGAATAAAACTATAAAAAATAAAAAACTAATTATTGAATGGTAAAACAAAAAACAATCTTAAAAAAATAACAAAAAAAATATGAATTATCTTGCTAATCCTATAACCATAAGCATGTGATTAGGATAAACCAAGAAAAGTGCAAAAAACAAAAAGTATAATGAGTAATTCTAAAAAAACATATGTTGAATGATAATAAAACCAAGAAAAAAATCAATTTTAAAAAAAATCACTATACAAGTGAGATATAAACACCCACGCGTAGGTAAATACTAAATGAAAAAATCCACTCAAGAGAAAACCTGGTTGTAGGCATCAAGCAATCATAGATGAGAGATGACAATGGAATGGAAAACATGAAATTAGTTTAAATTAGCTACAAAGTGAATTTCATGACCAATAAACACCTTCGTGTTGTAATTGAAGCTTCATATACTCACAATTAATCAGTTATAATAATTACTATATAGTTTACAAGACCGTATACTACATCTTTTGCATTTCAGATATTATTTCTTAATTACCATAGGAAAAAATCGAGATATTTTGAGATGGCGGTGGCTGGATGTTGATGTTGTGTGTTCGGTGCTGTATTGTAAAATACCTTTTAATAAAAAATATATTTTT